AAAAAACAAAAAAAAAAAAACCAACACTCAAGAAGCAAATTTCATAGTCTCTAGATTTTATGAAAACAATTTAACACAATGCATAAATTAAAACCCCATAATAAAATAGTTAATACTACTCTCTCTGTCTCATGGCTACTACGATACTAGCATATATCAACTAACAATATATATACTCATATCATACATAATAAAAATTAACATTATTCCCAAGTAGAACATGCAATTAACATCATCATAAAACCTAATAATCTCAGGATCGATAATCTTTCAAAGCCAAAGAGCCCCGGCATCTTTGAGGAGCGGGACGAGTGTGCCGTTGATGTGGCAGGCCATGACCGTCTCGATTCCTCCCACGTACTTCCCGCCGACGAAGACCGCCGGAACCACCTGCTGCCGCCTGCCGCCGCCGGCGAGGCGGAGGAGGAGGGCGTGGATCTCGGCTCCGGAGGGGTCTCGGTCGAGCTCGACGACCGCGGGGCCCACGCCGAGGCCGAGGAGCAGCTGCTTGACCACGTGGCACATGCAGCAGCCGCTGACTGTGAACACCACCACGGCGTTCCGGCGGACGAGGAGGCCGACCTTCTCCAGCGCCGCCTCCACGTTCAGCGGCGCCGCTGACATGTCCCCGCCGGCAACCGGCTGCGGCGGCGGCACGTCCTTGGCGACTTGCATTTTGTTATGGGAAAGAGAGTTGTTTGATGAATAAAATTAATTCTCTTGATTTTGAGATGGGTAAGAAGAGAATGAATGAAATATTGGGGGAAAAAAAAAGAGGAAAATGAGTAAATTAGAATGAGACAAAAAAATCAAGAAGTGGTGCAAGAAAAATGTGAGGTTCCAACATTAGGGCTTGCATTGTATATAATAGCATCACTTTTCCACACACACAATGTGTGAGAGAGAGAGAGAGAGAGAGAGAGAGAGAGAGAGAGAGAGAGAGAGAGAGAGAGAGAGAGAGAGAGAGAAGAGGTACGGGCATAGGCGTAGTGTAAAGCAACTAGCATGCAGAAAATGTCTGGCGGCCTTGATATCTCATACTTTGTGCATTGCACCTAAATCAATGAAATTAAAAAAAGAAAAAAAAAAAGATTAAATGGGCAAGAATAGGATGAATAAAATATAGGGAAATGTTGTGGTTCGTTACAGGACCATTCTGTCGAAATTTATAACCGTAAAATTATAATGTAACCATTGAGAATAGTTGATCTAACAATTACAAATCCCAATGAAATATTCTCGTAACGGAACCGTAACATCTCTCTAAAATATATAATGTAAATGCAAAAGTTATGGAGGGCAATAATTATTGTGGACATGGCACTGACTGATAGAAATAAGTAGGCTTTCACTTGGCTGACCTAAGATACCTCCATTTAAAAAATATTATATTTTTATAATAATATAAATAATAATATAATATTTTATAGAATAATTTTTTTGTTTTTTGTTTTTTTTTTTGGACTTGACGACCCATTTGACTAACACAAAAACTAATGTTTGCAATTATTATAGCCTTGTTGTCTTTAATTTTGATATATCATATATAAAAAATTTAATTATTGACTTATTATTGTTACTCAAATAATAGAGCTTTCCTAACATGACATGCATGCCAAATCCCAATTGTGTATATTGCAGATAGGGTCCCAGATTCTTCTATTTTATCAAGTGGGACCACCGTTCCCGGTTACCACAGATATCCACAAGGACCATAACTGAAAAGAATGTTGCTCGACTCACTTAAATTACGTGAGGATCGGATGAAGACTACATACACATGTTAGTACTTAATTTTACATACATATTTACATTAATTAATAGACAAATAAATATGAGAAGTTTCTTTTCTTGTCTTACTTGGGAATGCTATATGTTTGTAGAAAATTAAGGAAATATATATATATATATATTTTTTCTTTTTACGAAGGAATTTGGTAGGTTTAATTGGTTACAACAATGAACTTTAAAGTAATAAATTATAACTGTTAAAATACATTTATAATTGCAAGCATAAAAAATTGACACATTGGAATTGCACCAAAATTCAACATATAGGATTACGAAATAACATATTGACATATAATTATGAAGTAATACACTGAGTTCGAAAAACTCTGCATTTATTTAAATATCATGTCTATAATGTGTACATAATTATAAAATTTCATATTGATTACCACTATAATGAAAAATAGGTAAATTTGTCTCTAATATCACCGCCTTTATCGAAATTGCAATTGAATCATGACCTTTTCACATTTACAAATTATATCACAATCTTTTGTTTGTTGCACACAGTCTGAAATCAGCCGTAAAAAAGCTGATGTGGTCGAATAATAAACTGAAGGTTGTGATATAGTTTGCCCGGGATATGCAAGTCGGTGCAGCAATTTGCAACAAACTAAAGATTATGATATAATTTACAAGAGTGAAAAAAGGGTATTACTATTTACCGCCCCCCTTTTACTAATCACCGCTCCCTCCCCCAATTACGTTTTTGCCCTTATGACTATCTCTCTACTTTCTCTCTCTACTCTTTCTCTCTCGACTTTTCACGGCTCTTTTGATCGTCAAAAAAATGTCGAAAAAATCCGAAAAAAATACCATGACATCGGCACCACATTGAAGATTGACTATGTATTTTTTTTACATTTTTTCACTTTATAAATAATTTTTTAAATTTTATTTTATTTTTTTTTTCGTGTCCG